GTTCGAAAGGGTGGATAGGTTCTTCCTACATCACCATGAAGATGCACATAAAAGCAAGGCGTCTTCCTACTGTCCCCTTCAGACTTATTTCATCCCATATCACATCCTCAGAAACAATGCGTTTATCCTTTATCCTCGCCGTTGTCGCTGCTTGGACAGCATCAATATCTATCATCAATGCTGAGAAATGTCCTATGTCTTGCGAGCATGATAAAGACTGCTCACACTGCAAAGTGCCGTGTACGTGTGTGAGTATGAGTAGTTTGCGTCCCGTATTTAACCACATGACTCACCGGCGTGGTAGTTCCTCAATGCATGTATCAGGGAGTGAGTCGTATTTTTGCATTCACATCGGTACAGTATGGTTGATATGACGGCCCAGGGGAGACCACAATAAGAAGGGCAATTAGATATAAAATCTCTACAGGATCAACCAAAAGTCATTCTATGGGTCGTACTGAATTTGTTACTATTTTCTCAAAAGTCATCTATGTTGGCGGGTGCCATACTCCATTTTCGTGCTGCTTCGGGCGCGATCGTCACTCGGGTCACCGCGCAGTGCTGCAGCCTGGTGCGAGACTGAATCAGAAATTCGATATGATGAATCAGAAACTCGACACCTTAGAGGGGAGAGTCGACGAAGAGTGAGCATTGTTTTGCATCACTTTTCTAATCGAATTTCACGTTGCAGCAATGAACAAGTTGTGGTTTCTGCAATTGAATATGTAATTCATGCTGCAGCGTCAGTGGCTGATTGTGCTGACCTGAGAATGTCGACCGGAACCCTGTATATCCGGCTGCGAAGTCCAGGACTCCAAAATAACTTAAATTTTCTCAATGTCTAGCAAGTGCACTTTGCTAATTGCTCTAGTTATATTATTAACAGGCTTTAGATAATAAATATATAGGTATTGGTGCGTTATTACACCTCCCGCCTCTCGGTCAGCCGACACTCAAGGAGAGGAGAAAGTAGATATCGGATATCTTCGACAATTGTCCTCTTCCATCCCAGCCGCAGTTCACAGCGGTGCACTGATTGGTTTTCGCTGCACGGATCTTACTTAGTGACCATTTGCGAGATAGTACATCCGAGCAGGCACATGGATAATTTTATTACATTCAGTAATAAGTAATATTAATCCACACTCCAAGTTCCACGAGCAATTACAGCTGTTTGCATAAAGGATGGCACTGGCGTGAAATTTTCGTTCAATTAGGAAATGTTAGACTTAGTGAAATTTTGCTCGTGTACACTCACATCCCCTGTAATTCATTATCATCATGCCGTTTATAACTATTCCTGCCTACAAAAAACACAAGAGCCATGCTAGAGCATGACAGTGACCTTGATTCCAATGGGTCCGATGAGGACAATATTCGAATGAAAGAACTTTCGGAGGAAGAGGAACCTGACTCTGATGACGACGGCGAAGATGACGAGCTTGAGCAGTCCCAGCCCATGAAGATCCTTACACCACCTCCGACCATGTCCAAAAAGCGAAAGCGTGGAACTAAAATCTGTGACTAATGATCCCTACTACATGGCTCGTCAATAAATCCCAACTCTGATGGATCATACTGAGCCCTGCGTGTGATGAACGCAGCACGGAGAGTCTCGTTGCGTTCCTTGGCAATGCGCTTGAGTTTCTTGTAGCTCACATCAGCACGTTCGAGCTCGCGGAAGATTGTCGTGAAATGGACAGATATGAATTGGTTTGTCGCGAGGAGGTGCATGAGCTCATCCAAAAAATAGTCAGGATTCTGCCTTACAAGGCGAAGCAGGCAATCAATATCTTCATGATCGAGAGCACGCAGACGACCACGCATTGCTGTGTTAGGCTGACGGTCCACGACATCGCCGGTTTCGTGCCAGAGCTTCAAAATCCGAAACCAAGTGCGTCTAGAAAATCTGCAGCAATCTAGGATATCACGAAGGCTTAGAATTCGAAGGTTCCGTTCATGGAGTCGGATTGCCGCAAGTTTCACATCACGACTAATCTTGCGAAATCCCATGTTGCGAAGATGATAATATAAGGGTAGTATGAGCGTACACGAGCAAAATTTCACTAAGTCTAACATTTCCTGATTGAACGAAAATTTCACGCCAGTGCCATCCTTTATGCAAAGAGCTGTAATATCGGAACCGGGAAGTGCAAAACATGTACTCTAGATAGAAACCTTACCTTGAACTATGGTTACAGTATAACGCAGCAAGACAGCTACTACTCAATACTGTCAAGGGACATGTGCGCAATAGCGTCGGGGTTGAGGCCGGTAGCTCGCGGCCAGGCCTCAGGAACGAACAGGACGCGGAACTTTATACTAGTACGCGACCATTTCCATACCCTATACTTACGGTGACGAGTAGAACGTCACGGTGGTGCTCTAGTGGCCATCTGATGTGGGGTACGGCGCCTTCTGTAAAGTGGCATGTAAAGATCCTCCATCCTACTCCATCGCGTACTTCTCTCTAAGATAAGTGCCGGTCCGTACGCAGTGCCCGCCCTCTCAAAAGACCGATGTTTCGAGGATTCACCAGTCAGCTCCCATTTTCCACACATAACTCACTACTTTTGTCTACTTAAACTGATCATCGGCAAATATAGAAAGTTTCGAGCTCGACAGCGACACTTATGGCGGACTGTCGTATAAACCAGTCTAATCGCTAGTGTAGACACTAGTACTTGGACTGACTCATGCAATAGTCCGCCGAGATCCGGACCCAACCTTCAATGGATACCATCACCTCCTTCCTCGCGCCCTTCATGTACAGTATACTGGCGAGCTTCACATCACTAATCGGATTTGTAGCGATGAATTGTTGCCCCTTCGTCTGCATAATGTATCGTGCAACGGTCAATTTCTCTGGCCGACGGAGGAAAGGGAATCGGAACTGCAAGTTCGTCATTTTGTATTTCGTTGCTAGTTGTACCGCTCCAAGTCAACGTGCAAATGTTGTATTCTTAGTGCGATTGTGTTCCATCGCGATGTTAGATAACCAACGGAAGCAATGTTTAGGTTGATCGGTAACGACCATGGCCAGCCCCTCCACCGAACAAAGCAGTATCCACTGCCCAATCAATTCGCTAGTGCACCATTGTGAAACGGAAGTACAGTCCAATGAAAAACTATACGCCGCTAACCAAGGTCCATCAAGCATCGCATGCTCTCCCAGATGGTCAAGATCGAGATGCGAAACACGGGTGTTCGCGACTGCAGGCATCAGTAACTTAGTGCGGACCGCCTGCCGCGGGGGTGACGATTAACATCCTGTTTTAATCACCAGGACCGAATGGAGGTGCTAACATACCCAGAACACGGACCAATCATCATCTGGTATTTGCTACCAAGATGGCAAAAGAGCCACCAAGAAGCGAGATTCTCGTTGAGGGAGTACAAAAGGACGGTCGATGACAAGTTGACAACATGACCATTCGTGTGGTTTCTATGGGTGAACGAAACGTTAGTGATTTCCATATTACCATATAGCCCTGATTCTGGGGAAAGGAAATCACCAATGATTCGCCATTTCTAAACGATTCCATACAGTCCACGATCGCCGTACCGCCAACCAGTGGTCGAACAACATCAGAAGGTTCACGATAACTTACAGCTGACGCGGATGGTGTCCAGGTGCCGCTATATTCTCGAAAAAAAATTGTTAAAATATTAAATGATGTCACCATGAGATCGTCAAGACTCGAGGGTGCCTCGAAATAGATGGTTCTCGCTGTCGATCAGCAAATGCTCCCTTTCGGCTTCTTCAACGGCTTGCGAATCGGGGTGACTAACTGTGGAGGCGGGTGCGTCATGTCAAGAAACAACTGTCAAAGGCAGCAAAGTTGATTCAACGGCTGTCGACGGGTGAGAGCAGTGACCTGAATATGAGGGTGAAGTACCACAGAAGGATACAAAGGAGCCCCGACAGATAAATTGACGAGAAGATCAGTGATGTTTGACGAGTATTATGATCAAATACTCGCCAAACATCGCCGATCTTCTCATACACAAACTATTATAATCGAACGACAGCTCCTTGAAACACGCGATCTGCCAAGGAAAGCTCTCAGGCATGGATCAACGGGGAATGATCCAATCACCTACAGACCTTAAAAACGAAAGAAAGACGACATAATAAGCCCCACGATTACGATGGACTGATGTGAGTTAACGCCCAATTACCAAGACTTGATAAGATCGAGGATCAGCACTGTAAGATGAGACTGCGTATGGCTGTCTAGGCCGACGTACATAACGACGAGGTGCTCCTGCGAGGTTATAAGACAAGCGTCGTGTGCACCACTTCAGCTGGCTGCGAACACACCTGTTGAAGGAACTCGTCTTGCGTTCATCGACCTGTTTATATTCAGTTGGCGACGTTAATATTCGTGTCTAAGCCCTTCGGACCCGTTCGTAGTGTTGAGTCTTGACTGGGAGTTTCTGGCAATTGACTTGACTTGACGTTGCTGCAAGATGGCATGCTCTTGCGGCATGATGCATAGGCTAACTTAGGCTTTAAGCTCTGTCTAAACTCAGCTCATATGCCTCCCCTGCACCAGGTCCTATACCGGATTTCAACATCATCGATATGTATGCTTCTGTTCTCATAAAGAGCGAGTCAGTAGCACCAGCTCGAAATCTTTGTGAGATTGCCAGTATTCAATGTTGCAACCTCCAAGCTGCCCGTTACGACATTATGTAAATGCTGATTGGCGTCGGAAACTAGTTTCCTCTCGTCCGTGACTCGTCATACACCACCTCACACACAATTGTGAGGCCTCGAGGATTGACATTAAGCAACAGATCAGATAGTGTAGATGACGCCAACTCGGGTGTGCAAGACCGTGACTGTGCCAGATGAAAGCTTGCAATGCAACATGGGACTAAATAACGAATGAAACCGATTCTCACTTTTTTCTTCACGGCGCGCATAGCCGTGTCGAGTGCTGCGGCCGCCCGTGTCATCTCGTAGACTTCAGCTTCATCGGCCCAGAGTGCCTAATGTCACTTTTGAACCCAGAAAACTGCAGATAAGCTGCGAGGTGGATGACTCCGTCGGGCGTCTGCTTGTCGCCCACATCAGTATGACACACTGATAAGAATGCGAACTCAGCTTGCAGAATATTGTTCACCATGATATCGAGCAGTGTCAAGCGCTTATCTATCATGGCGAAGTGTGGATTGTAAGGCTGCTCACGGTCCCGCGTGCCATGACAAGCGATGTGCAGCCAGATATTGCGTTACAAAGCTTGGAGCGCAGCTGCGTATGTGGTTTCTTCTCCAAAAAGACTAGTGAACTCGACCTTCGGAGGAACGAGTTTACGGACAGTGACAAGAAAGTTCAAAGTCCCTGTGGATAGCTGTGCAGATATTAACAGGGAGTTAGAGCTTGCAAGCACCTTTCCGCGCCCGTTTGGCCTTGTCCAATCCACGAGCTTGAGTGACACGCATCTTCTTCTTCATCTGTCGAGCTCTGATCAGAGCAGGAAGTGTCGGTATGTAAGAAGTGATATAGATATCCTCCGAGCATCATTCCCTCCCAGAACCATCTGCCTTCATTCGAAAGGGGTGAGCTGTATGGAGAGGATGGATGTGAAGAGGGCATACTTAGCCATATTTGCAATAGTGAATCCGTGACACCATAGAACGTGATTGTCGCCACTATCTTCGAAATCAGTTTATTGCGAGCCCATACTCATGCAACGCCATCATGGTCCCGGCGTAAGGGAAGTCCTACCATGTTCCTTTCCCATCTCTGACTTTTGCAGATCCCGAGACGACTTTGCAAAGGCGATACTGAACATGGCTGGTATGGGCCTGACGGAGACAAGGACTGAGCTGATAGTACTGTTGCGGGAGGTATGGGATGAGATTACGTTACACGTTATCAAGGTACTGCAGCGTGATCTGAAATCGCGCCGCCGCTCTTGAATTGCATTCTGTAGAAAGTGAGATTTGTGATAGCATGAGAACTCACAATCTTGAGCAGTTTCACCGGTGCTCTCAACTCACCGTAGGCATTTCTATCCCGAGTGAGATGGAATACAGGATGCCTTTCAGGACTGACTGGTGCAAGTTTGGTTCTGGGATAAGTCCCTGCAGAACACGATTGAGTAATGTTCGTTGTGTATGTACGAATTGAAGCAATCACGGATTCACCAAACCATCACGACCGTCAGCTCCTTGCACTGCCAAAAATCAACAACGTTGACGATGGACGGATGAAGCTTACCATGCCAAAGCATATCGCCGCTCCCATCAGTGAGACTGTCATAGAAATAACAGATCAGCATGGCAAGATATGGTTTTACATGGCTAACTTGCATAGACGAGGACAACGGGTGCGGGCTTCTACCACATATGTCATAGACTGTCAACGGACGAGAAGTACTGTTGTCGACGAAGGACTCAATATTGTTGACGACGTGTTGAAGGTGGTAAGGATCTTATGTAATCCTTTGCACGGCCGTCGGCCGAACGGCTGGTTCCGAGTTTTGCTCACGTACTACGGCGTTTCTCATTTCTCGCTAGCACTCTCGTGTCATGGATATCGCAGCACTTGAGCTTGAAGGTGAGGACATTCCAGCAGTCGTGCACACTT